AAAAAATAAACGATGAAATGGTATTCAATGTGGCATAATCTAAAACTGGTTTCAGATGAATAAACAATTAGCTATAATTCTAATTTCAATTTTAAAATTAGGTCTAATTTCTTAGCTGAAAAATGTTTCTTTACAAATAAACGATGTTAACAGAACCAAAACCAAAATAAAACAAAACAAAACCCAAATCCACAACAACCCGGAATCCACTGCCATTAAGTCCATCCGGAGCCATGGTGACACTATGGAGGGTATCTGAGGCTGTAAAACTTAAAACACAAAACTTTTTATTGTGATTTAGGTAATACTTTACACAGCATAGCAAATGTTTTGCATTCAAGAATTTATACACATTGTTTCCATTTATCCAGTTGAATCTTCTCAAAGTAACTACCCCCTACCATGGCCGTTTCCTCCCTGTGCTTCCAACTGCATTCCTCTTCACTTCCTAACCCCCTGCCTTGGGAGAAACTGTCCTGCCCTTTCAGCCGTCCAGTATGCCACCGGGGCTCCTGGTCTTCCTTAATAGTACGGACCATAAGGAATAGAATCACCATTCTAAAATACAAACCTCTTCCATCACACTTTGATGCTATGAATCTAGTCTACTTTTGAATAGTTATATATTTTTATTACATAATTCCCAAATAAAGTTCCTAGTACAACTAAGTTTCATGACAAGGTTTGTTGGTTTTTTTTAAGCATTCACTTAAAGTAGAACCCTTTGTATAACTTAGTGCAGCATCTAAAAACCTTAGATTCATGGCAAATCTAAAAAAATAAACCAAATCAAACCAAAAAGAACGCATTTTGTAACTCATTTTAAAGTCAAGTTTGTTTAACTGATGGTAACCCTGACCTGTTTGAAGGTCGAAAGGGCAGCACAGATGCCAAGGACAAAGTACAGGTTGTCAGTGAGAGAGGAGGAATGGAAACAGGAGAACTGGAAGTGGGATAATGACTACATTGAAGGTATTGTAGTCCACGAGAGGAAACAAGATGTGTATGAACTCTTGAACGTAAAATTGATCATCTGAGGGCTGTGGAGGGAAAAAAGAGGAGCTGATACCAAGGGCTCAAGTAGAAAAAAAATGTTTTGAAAAGAATGAAGGCAACATATGCACCAACGTGCTTGATATAATTGATGCATGGATTGTTATGAGAACTGCAAGAGCCCTCTATGAAATGATTTATAAAAAATAAAATAAATAAGAGAGTAAGAAAAACTTGATTATGTTCTGTAAATCTTCGCCCAATTCACAATAAAACTTTTATAAGAATCGCGTTTCGGTATATAATTTTATGAGTTTTGACAAATGCCTATTTGTGTACCACACCTCCAACCAAGAAAGAGAACATTTCCACCAACTCAAAAGAAATGTCATGCCATTTTGTTAACTAACATGTCTGACTGCTTGCCAATCATGGATCCATTTTCTTGCGTGTCATTTTGCCTTTCCCCAGATGTCATGTAAACACAATCAAGAGGGTTCCATTTACTCAGCACACGGCCTTTAAGGTCCACATGGTGTTGCATGTGCATCAGCAGTTATCCCTTTGAATTGCTGATGAGTAGTCCACTCTAAGCTGCATGATAGATTATTCACCTATAACCTGATGGATATTTGGTTTTTTCTGGTATTAATAATTTAAAATAAAGCTGCTAGAAAAATGGTTCTCAGATTTTTTATTTTTAAAAAGCTAAGGTATTTATTTACTTTTCAAATTCATTTTATTGGAAGCTAACATAGCTATTATATTATTCTATAGTTCAATCATCTCAAGCAGTATTGTACAACTGTTACCACAATCAGTTTTAAAACATTCACTTCTTTCTCGAGCACCTTGCTATCAGGTCCCTTTACCCGAGTCTACTCCCCAGGAGCCCTCCTTACTCCACTTGCTGCCTTCACAGGTTCAATGCTCACAGGTTTTAAACTAAAAGTATCTTTTGGGGATATATTTCATATTTTAAGAGTATCGTTGTGTGGTTTTTGGTATATCCACAAGGTGTGAAGATATATTTGCTTGGTATAGCTACAGGCAAAAAAAGAGGAAGAACTTCCACAGGCAGGATGGACACTGGGCTCAAGCATAAGAACAATTGTGAGGCTGGCCTCTGTTGTACAAATGGCCACTATGGGTCAGAACCAACTAGTTGGCACCTAACAACAACAACAACAACAACAATAACAGTGCACAGGCTTTTATGTGAACATAGGTTTTAAATTTCTCCTGGGTATATAATGAGTGGGATTGTTTATGAGTATATGTGTAATTTTAAAAGAAACTGCCAAGTTCTTCCAAAGTGGTTATATTGTTTTGTATTTTATAAGTACATTATGATCCACAGAAATATATCCGTGTAGTAGTTTGAAAGTTTATAGAGAAATTCTAGAACTTCAAAACAATTTCAGAAAGGGCATCCTTACTTTTTCCTTTCTGAATTTCTACACCCATTAAACAACAACAATAAAGAAGGAATATGTCATTACATGTCAATGCTTGCCCCCCTTCTCCTTCTCAGGAGAAGGTAATGGGAAGTTTAATGAAGGTAGCCATCATTAAGCTGGTATGCGTGTTACCAGACCCCCATCTGCATTTTCACATATATGAATCAAGCTAGCAATGGAGACAGGACAGCACAGCAAATGCCGAGTTCAGTTCTCAAGCAACTGAATTCTGCCAACTACCATGTGAGCTTGGACATCAATCTCTCTCTGTTGAAGCCTTTAGAAAAAAACCTCAGCCTGAAATCCAGAGATAATAACTGGATTGAGTTTCTTGGGGTGAAGGCAGGGGGCTAGGGGAAAATGGGGAGCTAATAATGAGTACAAGAAAGAAAATGTTCTAAAATGGATTGAGCACAGCTCTTTTTAAGTATGGATAAGCCATTGAATTGTATGATATGTGAATTATCTATCAATAAAACTATTAAAATTAAAAACCCAAAACAAAACCCAGTCCTAGCCAACACCTTAGTTACAGCCTTGTGAAAGACCATGAGAGAGAAGAACTTATTAAGGTACTTCAGAATTCGTGACCCACAGAAACGGTGAAACGGTGGATTATTTTAAGTTGCTAAATTTATAGCAATTTGTCATGCAGCAATACATAACTAATACACTAATCAAACCAGATGCTACTAGAAAAAGATATAAAAATGGCTTGTAAGCTACAGAAAGAGGTTCTCCATTTTGAATGTTTTACATGCATGAGATTCTGTCTGAGTAGCAGACACTGACTGGGGCTGCCTCAGTTCCTTGCCACACGGCAGCTGGCTTCATCAAAGAGTGCAAGCTGAGAGGTCTGCAAGCAAGACTGAGTCCTAATCCAGAGACTGGTGGGGTTTCCAAGACCATGGCCTTTAGTCACCCTTCAGGTCTGGAACGGAACTCACCTCTGTGTTAGGATAATCAAGCATTTAAGTGAAAAACAGGCAGCATTTGCCAAGGACAGAGAACAGAGGGTTAAGCAAGCAGGAGGCATGGAAACGGAATACAAGGAGGAAGTGGGATAAGTGAGGATGCTTTGAAGGGAATGCAAGGGATGAGCTGAATCAAAATATGTATGAATTGTTGAATGTAAAAGCTATGATCTGCTCTGTAAACTTTTACCTAATTCATATAGTTAAAAAAAAAACCACAGGTCATAATCCTTCTCGTTTGCATGGATCCACACTGCCACAAAGCTGGAGGAAGAGATGTTCCTTAGGGAGGCTGGGTGGATACCTGGCCACTATGTCTTCCCCGCTAACAGGAGTTGGCCTTGTTCTCAAGAATGCGAGTCTGATGGCTGTAATCACCGCTAAACTGAAACGCAGATTGTTCACATTGAATGGGTGGCATTCACTGAAGTGTAAGACTTATGACACAGTAAGAATTCAGCTGCATTTTCAAGTGTGGTAGGACACTATTCTGCTACTGGCAACGATTATCTCTTTGTGGACAGATAGTCTGCATTTGCTCCTGCCCTGAGTGGCTGCTCTCTCTCGATAAGGTCCTATGTCCTCAGCAAATTCAATCAGGCACTCAGAGTGGCATGTGGATGGGCATTCGCTTCCTGCTCTTCTGCAGATAATGAGGGAGAAAGCACTTCCAGCAGTCTCTTTCTAGTGTCATACTGGCTGTTGTTTTCTGTTTGCTTCTAAATATGACTAGACCTTGGCCTAAGTGTTTTCTAATTGGTAACCATAGACACTTCTGTAAAGTTTCACCTAGCTGCACAGGTAAAGCAGCACAGAAGGCACTTTTAGCTCTTGCATGAGCAGCAAAGTTGAGATTACAACTCTCAGAGAGAAGTACCATGTGGCTCTAACTTATTTGGAGAAGCAGAGCTGATTTACCACAAGTTGCTTCTTACGTAGAAAGAAAGGTATGATCTTTGAACTGTGCTGGGCTCTGCTATGAACATTTTCATGACAGGCAGAGGAGCAATCTATACTTATTAGCTGTCTCAACTTGGTTAAGAGTTTTGGGACTAATGCTGCAATGTAAGGCATTTTGTTTCACGTAGTGATTCAAGATGCATTTGAAAAATGCTGTTATAACCTCTACACAAACCACAGATTGTGAAACATTGCTTCCAAGGAGACGAAGTAGTCAAGAGGTACTGGTGTTTTTAATTCTAATGTTCCCACATTTTCTTCAGTGTCAGGAAGAGTGGCTTTCTGACCTGCTCCTTTTCCTGCATCCACATATGTGCAATGCTTGTTATTATCAGGGTCTTGGTACTGAAATGCCTCTGTTATGA